TTTTTTATGGTGCATATTCCTTTCTTGTGATTTCTTAAATTTTTCATAATCTTTGCTTGAGTGGTCTAGTTCGTCCACTTTTATCTTCCAGTCTTGATTCTATGTTTTCCGTTTCATTCATACTATTGGTGAGGCTTTCTCCTGTCGTTTCTAATTGGCTTACTGAGTGTTTCACTCCTTCTTCATTTCAGCCTAAGTATTCGTAAATATTTCTAACTCTTTTCTGAATTAATTCAGAAGTTTATCCCTATCTTCCTTCAGTTCTTTGATTTCTTTTTTTGTGTGTTCTTTAAATTCACTGAATTCTTTTATCATGTTTATAATTGTTCTTTTGAGTTCCATGTCCTGCATTATCTCTAGGGTGTTCTCACTGTACTCCCCTAGAGGACTATTAGTAGTTGGTGGGGATATGTTATTTTGGTTTTTCCTGTTATTTTTTTTTCTCTCTGATTTTGACATGTGAATTTCTTTTGTAGTTTCTGATTCTTGTGTGAGACTCAGGCCTTCAAGTTTAGGTCTGCTTCTTTTTGTGAACTTTATGTGTCTTTGTGGTTTACTTTTGGGGCATGAAAAGCTGGTTTGTCTAAGCTTCCGGTTCTCTATTTGATTTTATATTGCAGTGGCCAGATTGCTTTTGTCTTCAGGAGTTCCCACAGAGGCCCAATGCAGATGAGGGTCAGATGTTTTCAAGCTTTCTCCTAAGGTCAGGATCCCTCCAGGAATGATTTTGGCCTCAGCAATTTGGGGTTTGGACTGGCCTGGTAACCTGGCCCAGGAAAGATGCTGGTCTAGGGCAGCTTGTGGCCATGCCACCAGAGATGCAAAGGCAGATGGGGCATGAGGAGGCCCCAAGGACCTCTGGGGACTGCCTTGAGGAGCTGGGTTAGTCTGGATGCAAATGACCAGGAAGAGGAAAGGTCAGCCCTGGCATCCCAGAAAGAGGCTGGAGGGTGGTGCAGGCCCAGGGAAGCAGAGGAAGGTGAGGGCAGGGCCAGGCCCAGAAGCAGTGCTACTGGGGCCCAGAGAAGGCACTAAGTTGGTCTGGATGAAAAGGATCAGGAAGCAGTATTGGTTCCCCAGGTGTCTGGGTCCCCAAGACAAGGAATGGTGCAGGACCCAAACTAGGAAGAGAGACTGGCGGGGGAGATGGGAGGGTGAATGAGGCCAGGAGAGTCAAGGCGCAGATGGTGAGATGGACTTTAGCTGGAGAGAGGCCTGCGGGTAGGAGAGAGGCCTGCAGCGGGTCCTGCAGGCCCAGGGACTAAAGTTCCAGCAACTTTAAAGTCCAAGCTCTTTTTAAACATCCAATGTCTGCGGCTGGAGAGATAGTTCAGTGGTTAAGAGCACTGGCTGTTCTTGCAGAGGACCTGGGTTCAAATCCCAGCATCCACATGTCAGCTAACGACTGTCTATACCTCCAGTTCCAGAGACTCCAACACCTTCTTCTGCCTCCACAGGCATTGCATACCATACATGAGTGCACTTACATACATACATGCATAAGACTCAAACACATAAAAAAAATAGATAAATAAAAATCTAAAGTCCAAAAGCCAAAACAGGTTATATATCTTCTTTTAAAAGGGAAGAACAAGGGCACAGTTACAATAAAAACAAAGCAAACCCCAAAATCCAGCAATGTAAATCATGTCTTGTAGTTCAATGTCTGACATCTAGGACTCACACATGATCTTTCAGGCTCCAAAAGGCTTGAGCAGCTCCACTTCTCTGGCTTTGCCAACCATAGCACACACATGGATGCAGTTTATCAGTAGGTGCAGGCTGCCCTGCACACCATACCTGCTGCTGTCCTTGGTGATCATATCATAGTCCTGGCATCTCCAATATGTTGGGTTCTCCGCTGCAATTCAGGCTTCACCTTCATCAAAGGCTTTCTTCAGACTCTGACTCTGAGACATGCTGCCAAGCCTCAACTTATCTCCATGATCACTTCCACCCTGGGGTTTCTACTGCAACTGAGGCTGAATCTTTACCAATGGCCTCTCACAGTGCCAAGCCTCAGCTGCTCTCCATGACCCCTTCAGTCCTGCAGCTTTAATGTTTCCAAAGCCAGTATCAGGGGGAGACCCTTACACATTACCAAGTTTGGCTGCCAGCATGACCTGTTGCCTTGGCCCCTCCACTGGACCACAGCTTCTGCATGCTGATTCTGAGGAAATAATTCCCAGAAAATTTCATTTCAGTGATGCTGGCCTTATATTAGTCACAGCTGATATTTCAGCATCGATTGTCCTAGTAAAGCAAAGGTTTTTTTTCTATGGTTCTGGTCTCTTCTTAATCACAGCTGATTCTTCAGCCCCAGCTGACCAGAAACCATAGTTTCTTAATTAAAACTATTACACAAATGTTCCCAATAGTGTCTTTGAGGAACTCTCAAACTTCCCTATGAAACTTCACAAGCCTCGTCTTCACTGTCTGCAGTGCACTCACCATTGATTTCCAAGTTCGCACAACAGCTTATTAAGCTCTGAGCACTCAATGACTCTTCCAGCCCAAAGCTCCAAAATCCTCTACAGTCCTCCCCAAAACAGCATGGTCAGGTTCCTTAACAACATCCCAGATTCCTGGCATCAATTTTTGTCCTAGTTTGCTTTCTGTTGCTGTGATAAAACATCAAGATGAAAATAAATTTGGGCGCCAGGTGTTGGCACAAGCCTTTAATCCCAGCACTCAGGAGGCAGAGGCAGATGGATCTCTGTGACTTTGAGGCCAGCCTGGTCTACATAGCTGAGTTCCAGGCCAGTTAGGGCTACAGGAGACCCTGTCCCAAAAAGACCAAAGCAATATGGGAGGAAAGGATTTATTTCAGCTTAAAATTTGTAGTCCATCACTAAGGGGAGCCAGGACAGAAGCTCAAGGCAGAAACTGGGAAACAAAACTGAAGCAGAGACTACAGAGGAATGCTGCTTACTGGCTTGCTCAGCTACTTATCTATCCTGAGCCCACCTACATCAACCAGCAATCAAGAAAATGCCCCACAGACAGGCCTGCAGGCCAATCTGATGGAGGAAATTTTTCAGTTGGGATATCCTCCTCCTAAGTGTCTGTAGTTTGTGTCAAATTGTTAGAAACTAACCAGCACAGACTTCCAGCCTCTAGGACTGTCAGATACATCTGTTGGTGAAGCCACTGTCTTAGTCTGTCTCTTCATTGCTGTGACAAAACACTCTGACCAGTACCAACTTGGGGAGGAAAGGGTTTATTTAGCTTACATTTCCCAGGTCACAGTTCATCAGGGAGCCCAAGGTAGGAACTCAGGGCAGGAACTTGGAAGCAGGAGCTGGAGCACAGGCCATGGAGGAAAGCTGCTAACTGGCTTGCTCTCCTGGCCCCTGCTCAGCCTGCTTTCTTATGCAGCACAGGCCCACCTACCCAGGGGTGGTACCACCCACAGTGGGCTGGGCCCTCCCACATCACTCAACTATCAAGAGGATGCCCCACAGACAGGCCAGTCCAAAGGAGGCAATTCCCCAACTGAGGCTCCCTCAACCCAGGTGTGTCAAATTGACACTAAAGCTATCCAGCACAGCCACTTTGGTATTTTGTTCAATAGTTCTAGTGAACATAAGAAGAGGTCAGTATCAACACTGGAGGAATCTCCAAAACGTGTCTTATTCTCTGCCCCTCCAATAATAATAAGATAATGATAATAATAATAAAACAGATGTACTCTTAAATAGCAAGGAGTTACTAGCTTTCAGTCATTGGCTAGTCTTTTTTTATGCATGTCCTGGTGCCTTAGGACTCCCCTGCTTTCTTGATTCCCAAGTTAAAGGGTGTTGTTTGAGCATACCCTCTGGCCAGATCTTTCTGTAGAACTAAGAGGCTACCTTCACTAAGCCCACTTGCTTAAATCAACCTGTGCCCTTTCCAGGGATTCCAAACAGATATTTTATGGATAGATTTTTTAAAGCACCACCACCATTCTGAGGTTGGCAATATCCAGATGTGTGCTCTTTCCTGTGGGTTAAAATGTGCTCTGTGGGTGACAGTAGGGACTGTGGCCCTGCCCTTGTCACGGCAAGCTAGTACTGAAAGAAAAAGGAAAAGGCTATCCCTGAGGCTGGAAGAGCTCTAGGGAGTTAGAGTGACAGCAGGAGCCTTTGGATGCACTGTCTGGAATGTTGAGTGAGCCCAGGCCACTGGCCCTGAAGTCTGGAAAGTCTTGGGCTGAGGGAGAGCAGTGAACAGGGCCCAGGTTCCTACTGCCACATGAACTATCAAAGGCACACCACCGTGGTTGGGGAGTGAGAGATAGGGAGGTCAGAGTCCGGGTCATACGTTGAGGCAGACTAGAGACCTCTTTCCGTCTCTCTGGGGTGGGGTAGCTCGGAGCATGTTTGGTGCCGCTCCAGGTGGCCAGCATACAACATTGGACACAAGCTGGCCTGTAAAACCCGAAGTGCTGCCGCATGGCGGTGGGCAGGGGGTTTCCGTGGCACTGTCGCTCCAGGCACTTAGGCTGCAGTGGAACATAGAAATTTATTGTGTGCGAAGGTCGCGGTCACGCAGGGCGGATCGCTGTGGGCGCAGTTCTCTTTAAGCGTGGGGCCAGGGAATCCGGTTCAGGCGGGGCTGGAGGCGGGCACTTTAGGGCGAGGGAGAAGTTATAGGCTTCCTGAACCGCCCGCAAACCCTAGAGGCAGTGGAGACTGTCCTAGAGCAGGAGGCGCGTGGTGATCGTCCTGTGCGTGCCGCTATGTCCGGGGTGTCTGAAACCAGGAGCCTGGGGAGGGGTGAGTCCTGCCCGGTGAGGCGCGGGCAAGGGAGGCGGGGAGCGGGGCGCACGGCGAGGACCGCGGGAGGCTCGGTCCCCACAGCGCTCCGCGCCATAACCACGTTTCTCTCCTGCAGGAAGCGCGTCCCCGGGCCCGGTCCCGGAGGGCCAGATCCGCGTCTACAGTATGAGGTTCTGCCCGTTTGCTCTGAGGACGCTGCTGGTCCTGAAGGCCAAGGGAATCCGGTGAGGCCCGAGGAGCAAAGCACTCCCAGAGCCGGCTCAGTCTGCATAAAAGCCGCTGGTTCGCTCAAGATCACTCCTTGAAAATCACTGAGCACTGGCAGCAGAGATCTTAGCTCTGGTTCCGAGATGCCTGCCCCAGTGCTGTTGGCTTTCACATGGGGCCTTTTCCATCCTTGTCTGACTGCGTTCTGGTCACTCCCCATGCAGGGCAGCTCTTAACACAGTGCAAAAGTCAGATCTTGACCCTCAGCACAGTTCTCTGTTGACTGTCCCAGAACAGCCAATGTAGGTCGGGTTATTTCTCCGTTCAAAAAAGAAGTGTCTGTCTAGAAAGTCTTTTTGGAAAGCCACATTATTGGAACTAACAGTCACTGACTTGTGAGTCACTTGGCTTTTCTCTGATGCCCATTATCCACTGGAACCATTTTCCTGGAGGACCTTTTTTTAGACACCTGCTGTGTGGACCCTCACTTGCATCTATGCATTTAAAGTTTGTAAACTAACTTTAGCCTAAAAGAATTGGCTAGGCAGGTAATTCTTTTCCTTAAGAGAAATTTAAGATGTATCCTAAGTTAAAAAAAGTATTTTTAATTAGCTATCACTTCATGAAGATTTGGATTTCATTTGGCGAGCATGGTCTCTTAAGAAAATACTTTATAATACCTAAAATAAATTTGCTGGCAGTAGTCATAGCTCTTTTACTGTAACTAAGAATCTTAAACTGAATTGAAAAAGACATTATAGCACTCATATAAATGGGAAAATCCAGGAGTAGGACATGGCTGGATTCAGGGGCACAAGGTCTTGTGCTGTGTCTCCTGGTACTCTGCGTTGAAAAGTGTTACCTGTCTTACCAGTGAAAGTTCATAGAGAAGGAAAGACAGACTAGGGAGTGAGTAACTTAAGACAGTGCAGAAACGTTTATTTTGGGGAAAACTGGCAGGGTGGAGGTGTGGGGTGGCTCTGTAAGAATCAGAGCCTCCCTAAGCATCTGCTTGCAGAAAAGGAATTGAAAAAGTTCCCCTTTTTGGCACACAGTTGGCCATTGCTATAGGTAACCAGAGAGTGGTGAGTAAAAAAAAGTCAAGTCAGGATGACAAACAGGCTTTGTGGTTGTTCTTGACTCTAGATCAATAGTGTGGGGGAAGGGTAAGAATCTAGGAAAACAAGTTAAACGTTACTTTCATTTTGGAAACCAAATTATTGCAGTTACCGGAGTTCTCAGTTCAGCCAAAATGGAGGAGCTTTACAAAGCAGCATGGCCCTAGCTAAGAACCAGAAGAGCTTTCTAAAGCAAAATTGAAATTATTTTACCATCATACTGGGGAGGGAGGAGATATCTTTCAGAGTGCATATAACAGGTCTACTGTGTTCACAGATCAGTTTTAACTCTGAACCCCAGGATACTTTTATTAGTAAAGTACTCTAATCTTAGCATATGATGTAACCTATCTAAGCGTAGTGTTCCTCTAAGGAGCATCTTCCAAACTGTTGGGGCAGGTGTGTTGGCTCAAAATGCCAAGCTATCAACATTCATGCATGTTCTGAGAAACTTCTTGAACTTTAAGGCCCAGGACATACTTCTTATTTTCAAAGTATAATTTTTAGAAATGTTGATTAGTCTCTGGAAGAGGGTCTTATTATTTTTTAACAGCTGGACTGTACATTCAGTATTCTGTCAGCATTTGAACCTTTGAATACGCACCTATTAGTGTTCAAACGGGGCATTTGTTTTTGTGAAGGGTTACATACTTAAATCCTCAAACAAAATGCTGTTCCATTGTGGGTGAGGGAATAGGAAAGAAAAGGTGTGGGTGTATCCTGCTGTAATCTGTTGGACACTGATCCTGCTTCTACAGTTACAGACCTTGCTTTAAGAATTATATAGTTTTTTCCTTTCTTTTATTTCCCCTGTAATCTCTCCAAGATACAAGACAGATGTAATTACGCTCTAGATTTGGTCTGACTCTAGCTGTTTTTCTCCTTTTTTAGTTTACTCTTTTACTTTGTATGATTTTTCTGGTTTACTAGATTATTAGGATTCTTTAATATCCTTGTAAGGATTTTAAATTTCATACTAGCAAAATGAATTTGGTGGAATCAATTCATTTTAAACTGAGCTGAAATGAAATTAATGTATACTGAATGGATAGTGAAAATAATCCAATTAGTTGCCTCATATCAGGATCTCTAGGAAATATTAGCCCTCTTGAGTTCACTGCAGAACTAGTCACAGTAGTATAATGCTGATGGCCATTGACAGATGAGTGGATAAAGAAAACATACTCTATGAATACTGCTTCACCTTTAAAAAGAATGAAATTCTGCAACATGTGACAACATAGATGGATCCTGAGGCTGTTACATGAAACAAAAGTCACATACATACACACAACCCCCCCCCCAAAAAAAAACAGTGCCTGGTTTTACTTGTAGAAGGAATCTATTATAGTAAAATTCTTAAGCTAAAAAATAGGCCTGGGAGAAGATCAAGGCAGAACTGATTCCCCAAACTGAAGTCTTATCAACTAAGTAAATGGTAGAACCAATTAGCATTAGTCCAGAAGAAAATGGTTTGCCTTCAAGTCTTGTTTCTTTCAGTCACGAAGTCATCAACATCAACCTGAAAAATAAGCCTGAGTGGTTCTTTGAGAAGAATCCACTTGGGCTGGTACCAGTCCTGGAGAATAGTCAGGGCCACTTGGTCTGTGAATCTGTCATCACTTGTGAATATCTGGATGAAGTCTATCCGGAGAAGAAGTTGCTGCCGAGTGACCCTTACGAGAAAGCTTGTCAAAAGATGATCTTTGAGCTATTTTCTAAGGTATATGGGAGAAACTTCAGCTCCTGTTTGAAAAAGCTTTTGTTTTGTTTTAATTAAATCATACTGTCTTGTGTTGGGGCTGAGGCTTGGGAGAGGGCAGCATAGGAGGAATGTGCCCTTGTCTTTTTAACATGTCCTACAAGTCCCTCTGTGAACTGGTTTCTGTTTTGTTTACCTTCTTTTTTTTTTTTTTTCTTTTGATCTTTTTGAGACAGGATCTCCCTGTAGCCCCAGCTAGCCTGGAACTCACTATGTAGACCAGGCTGGCCTTACTCAGAGATCTGCCTGCCTCTGCCTCCCAAGTGTTGGGATTAAAGGCATGTGCCACCATGCCTGGCTCTCTGTTTACCTTCTTAAAGTGACCCTCTTGCCCTCTCCCAACTCCTTGCATGCTAACTATTTAGTCTTCCCTTCTCAGCTCATGCTGGAAGAGTCTTGCCTCTTCTCACTTGGCCTAGGCATCTTTGATATGTATGCTTGGATACTGCCAAGCTGGCTAGGACTCCAGCTCTGGTCCCAGATATGCTAACTTTTTCTCATCAAGGCTGATGGCCTTCAACTCTCACAACTGCCTGCCTTCTCTGTTTGTATTACACTGGGAATGCGAGCTCCCCAAGGGCAAAGACTGTGTTTTGATCATTGGTCCTTTATTACCTGGGTTTGTGACTAGTTGGATAGCTTTCACATTGTGAGACTAAGTTACTTGCTATTTCACTTCTTGGTGCCTTAGTTCATCATTTGTAAATAGGTATAATACGAAATGCCCAGAACAGAGTGAGAGATGGTACTTACCCAGTGTTAGCACTTGTCATGGTCACAGTGTTCAGCAATGTGTACATTATTGTGTATAGGCTATAACTGTGTTGACTGAATACATGGAGTTCCTGGAGAAGAATGTGCTGTGCTTGCATCTTAATTAGCATCAGCATGGATTACTTCAGAGTAATAAAGAAATGACTTACAGATACCTGTTTAGACACTAAGAATAGCAATGTCCTGTTACAACCCTTCAAATGTATTATCTTGGTAGGATGGTCAGTACAGAAAGGAATGCTTTGTCTACAGAGAAAGAAATTATATATATATATATAGAAGATGGTAGAGTTACAAGGAGAAAATAGTATCTTAGGAATTAGAGAAGAAAGAGGAATCCTCCAGCTTAGGCAGAATAGAGGGGTGGCCACTGGCAGTTTATATAAAGGAAATACAATATTAATCAAGTACATCAAATGCTGGGAAGCTTAAAAATTACTGCCAAGATGGCTGAGGAAATGGCTCAATGGGGAAAGAGCACTTGCTTTGTAAGCATGAGGACCTGAGTTTGAATCCCCAGCACCCTCATTAAAAAGCTGGGCATGGCTGCATTAATTACAGCAGGGGGGGTGGGGTGGGGCAGGGAAGGCAGGTAGCCTGAGAGCTTGCTGGCCTAGCTAAAGCAGCAGGCTTCCAGTTCAGTGAGAGACCCTGTCTACAGGCAATAAGATGGATGTGATAGAGGAAGAGACCTAACATTCTGCTCTGCCCTCCACATGCATGTACATGGGTTCACTGCACCCACACGCATATGCATGTACCACACACATACACACACAATAAAAATCAGTACTAAGAGATTTACTATACTGTCTAGGAAGAAACTGAGCATGAAAAGTAAAACAGGAGATACCCATCATTATTTCCCTGTTTATTCTTAGGGAATAATGTGACCTCCCAGTCACAACTCATCATGATAGAAACGCACCCTGTCCTGCTGTACCTGGCTAATAATCTTCACTCCTGGAAATTTGGAATGAGACACAAACTAAGACACTAAGCGTGCAAAGCTTTGGAGCTGTCTGTATCTCACTGGAGACTTGAAAAACCAAAGCTATTTATATACAAGTACACTTTTTAGGGAAAGCCCAAGTCAGGAGCATTGCAAAGGGAACTGATGGAAAATAATATGGAGCAAATGTTAAGGGAAATCAGGGGTGAACCACTAGGCAGGCAAAGATGGAAATGTAGGTGAAAAAGCCGCCTGCAAACCTTCAGTTCTAGTGAGGGCGAGCTGTATGGACACTGACGAAACTTCATGAAATTGTTGCTACAACTACCCGTTTTCTTAACTTGGCACGAGTGGGCTTTTTCATGCTTACAATGAGGTGATCTCAAAGAACCACTTATCAAAACACACAACTTGACCACACTCATTAAAGCATCTGGCATGACAGCCCAAGTCTTCAAGTAGTCAAGTCCCTTTTGAATAGTCTTTTGCTGAGAAGCTTCTCTTCCCCAGCTCCCTTTGCAGTTGGGACCAAGGCTTGGGACCTAAGCTCTTTTGGTCAGACACACATAGCAGCCTTCAACAGAGACAGGTACAGTGTGGGAACAGGCCCAGTGTGGGTTGCTGGTGCTGGCAAGAGGGGTGGCAGAGCTCCTGGTGTCTAAGTTCCAGGGGAGCAAGCCATGGCGTCAGGGCTTGGGCTTCTACAGACTCGCATCAGTGTTCAGTGGGCACTGGCAGCAGTTGGCACTTTCCATTAGTCCAGTTCTCGGTGCGATTTTAGAAAGTTCTCTTAGTTCCAGGCCTATTTGTTCACTCTATTCCACTCAGTGTCTGTTCAGGAAATTTTTGGCTCAGATTTGCCAAATAAGGTTCTATTATTGAAAATTTAAAAATTCGGACCAACTTAACATCTTAGGCTACAAAACTGTTTCTCGGATCAGACCATGGTCACTGTAAGCACTGGGGCTTTGTACACATTTGCCTTTTCTACAGCAGGCTGGATGGATACCCGGGCTATGAGGATTCTATTATGTTTTTATGCAGGAGAGACGATGTCATTATTCTCAAACTGATGAACTAAGAAATTGTTCTCTGTCCAGGTGCCAACTTTGATGGCAAGACTCTTTGGAGTGCAAAATAAAGAAGAACGTTCTGGCATAAAAGAGGAACTGCAGAAAGAATTCAGCAAGCTAGAGGAGGTAATCATTTCTCCTAACTTTTATCACAATAAATGATAATTTATATCTCCTTTCCTCTTTGTCCCATTTTTTCTTCAAATTTGATTGTTCAAATCACTTTTTTGCAGTTAGAAATAATATCAAGTATTATAAAATTTTTTACAACAAATTTCTGTAAATGGTTTTACTCATTATGTAAATCAAAATACCTAAAAGTGCCATAATGGGCTTGGTTTTATTTAGTTTTTTGAGACTAAGGTCTCTGGATCCCAGCTAGCCTTGAATCCACTATGCAGCCCATACTGGCCTTAAATGTATGATCTGTCTTCTGAGTACTAGGTTATAGGCATGCACTGCCACACATGGCTTATCGGCTTTAAGTATTTATTACATCAACATTAAAATAACAATGAATAACATGATGGTGCACCCCTTTAATCCCAGCACTTAGGAGGCAAAGACAGGCAGATCTCTGCGAGATCAAGGCCAGCCTGGTCTACATAGCGAGTTTCAGGCCAGCTGGGGCCACAGGAGACCCCTGTCTCAAAAAGATCAAAAAAAAAAAAAAAACTTTGAGAATTTCATATATATATGAATATATATAATGAATTTTAGTCACTTTCACCCCCCCATTGGTTTAATTAGCCATAGAATATTCTTTGAGCAATTTCCTTTGGCAATATCCTAATAACTCACCATCTTAAATTTAGTAAATTTACTGTTATCCAAATAATTGTCATCTGTTTAACAGTTAATTCAGTTTATTTCTAGGATATTCTAAGTACATTTTAAACTAAAAATTAGAATGTGGAGAAGTATCAATGCATAATAGTACAACTTGACAGTTTTTCTACAAAGTGAACACATATGGGTACCAGCACCCATATGAAGAAACCAAATTAGCTTAGCTTTTATCTAATTGTAGTTATTGTCATGACCAAATAGTGGTATTGTATTTTGTTTTAATTCTCATTTCATGACAACTAATTCAGCTGAGCACATTTTCAAATGATTACTGAAAATCTGGTCATCTTTTTCAAAGTGAAATCTCATTCGTTTTTCTGATTGTTTGCCATTTTTCTTATTTCTAGGATTTATTTCTATTCAGAACACCAGTCCTTTGTAGAGTTCTTGTGCTTGTGATTTTTTTTCCTTCATTTTGTTTGCTAAATTGTTTCATCTTATATATATGTTTGACAGATTCTAAAAATGTTTTGAGTTTTTTTCCATTTGTTCAATTTAGAGCTGGGTGTGGTGGTGCATGCTGTCAATCCCAGCACTCAGAAGGGAGACTGTCTCAAAACGATATATCCAATTTGGCTATGTCAGGATAAAAGCTATTGCTTAGACCCAATTTGCCTTCATTATTTTGATCATTTTTTGCTACAGACAAGTACATTCTTTTGTTTTCTTTAATGTTCAGGTTCTGACTAAGAAGAAGACCACCTTTTTTGGTGGGAACACTCTCTCTATGATTGATTACCTCATGTGGCCCTGGTTTCAACGGCTAGAATTACTGGAGCTAACTGAGTAAGGCATTTGAATATTTTGTGCATAATGTAGGATGAAAATTGTAATAGTATAGATTGAACTTTTTCTGAGCTAAAGTAAATAGTAACTGGCATAGATGAGAACAGACAGGAGCATGCAAGGCTCTGCAGGGCCTGTCAGATTATCTACTCGCCTCATCCCCGGGGAACAGAAGAAGGCTGTGACATGAGTAAAATGGTTAAAAATGTACTGCTTGGCTGATTAGAAATCCATGGGGATGTATGTTTTTGTAAGAATACTATTGCATGGCTTATGGCCACACTTTCCTCTTAAAGAGTTTCACACTTTCTAAATGCCACTTTGAGTTTAACAGCCACCCACATTGGCTTACTTCTTAGGTAAGCTCTTTAGGGCTACTTTTAGTCACATCTGGAGAAAATTGAAATTTAACACTATTAGCTGTCTTTCAAGTTCTCTTTCAGTCTGTCAGTTTGAACAAGCTCTGGTACTAACTGAGCAAGTCACTCCATCCTCACCTCAGATTCCTCTCCTTGAAACAAAGACCTCTTTGATGCCACTCAGATCAGTCTATTTCATGCATTTTAGAGATGGTTTAATTTTTTTTTTACTTATTTTTATTTTATGTATAAGAGTTTTTTGCCTGCATGTATGTAAGTGCACCTATGAGTGCAATGCCTGATGAGGCCAGAAGTAGGTGCTGGATCCCCTGGAACTGGAGTTGGTTGTTAGCTGCCATGTAGGTGCTGGGAACTGAACCCAGGCCCTTTGCAAAGAGCACAGTGCTCTTAACCACTGAGCCCCTAGCACTGACCCTAACTCCAGTTCCAGGGCATCCAATGCCCTCTTCTGGCCCCCTCAGGCATTGCACACACAAGTGCACTTACATACGTTCAAGCAAAACACTCATACACATAAAATAAATAATAAAACAAAATTTAAAGATACTTTTTAAAGGGTTAGGGGAAAACAAAACTGAAGTATAATATCTGAGACTCTGGAATGCCAGCCCAGTGGCTCTAGCTCACATCTCTACCTATTCTTCTCATAGGTACATAACCCATACTCCCAAACTCAAGCTCTGGGTGGCAGCAATGCAGAAGGATCCCGCAGTATCGGCCCTCCTGCTTGATGCCAAGGCCTTTCATGGTTTCGTGGGTCTCTACCTACAAGATAGTCCTGAGGCCTGCGACTATGGGCTTTGAAAAGCAGGAGTCCACAGCAAATGTCTGATGTTTTCCTTAACTGATACAAATAAAATGCTTTTATTTTACCAAGTATTCTCACTGGTTCATCTCTCATTGATTTGGCATTATGGCCTAACAAGGTCTTCCCGCCCCCCCAGCAGTTTGAGACACTTCTGTATTTCTATTTCGAGATACTCAATTCTGATGGTTCTAACAATCTTCACTGAAATTCCTCAAACCATCACCTCTGGTTAGATCTAGAATTTGATCTAGATCTCTAACTATTCATGGAACATTTTCACTGGGATACCTTGCCCTTTCATGAAAAGTTAAGTTCTTCTGGTTTCAGAACTGGGAACTCTGAATTCCTCATTCTTCCTTTCCATCAACTCACTTCCCTTCTCTTGTTCCTGGTACCACCAAAGATCAAATCCAAACAGCCCCAAAGCTAGGTGGCTGGGTAGTCTCCCCACTTCCAGTTTCTAGTCCTTCAAATCCTTCCTTTCAGATACCTTGTTAGTCATAAGTAGGTGTTCTCACATATGCAAATACTGTTGTATTAGTTACTTTTCTGTTACTGTGATTAAAAACACTGACCAAGGCCAATCTGGGAAACAAAAGGTTTATTTTACTTTGTATTTCCCGGGTTTATCACTGAGGGAAGTCAGGGCAGGAACCTGGAGCACAGACCATAGAGGAACACTCCTAACTGGCTTGCTCCTCCTGGCCTGTGCTCAGCCTGTTTTCTTATACAACACTGGGACCACCTGCTGAGTAGCACCACCCACAGCAGGCTAGGCCCTCCCACATCACTTAACAATCAAGAAAATACCCTACTGATGTGGCCACAGGCTAACCCATGGAGTTCAGGTTCCCTCCGCCCTGGTGTGTCAAGTTGACCTGAAGCTACCCGGCACAACCGTTAAGGCCACATTAGCCAATTTGGTATATAAGGCTGGATAAATAACAGATTAAATGCCCATGGAGAAATTGGTGTCATCACTTCTATCATCACATCACCTCCATATGATAAGGTATGTCTGAAAGCCTCATTTCATTCTGATGAGGCAGCTGGTCCTGAGGTTGTGAGGCCTTACAATGTTGGTAGCAAGACCTGGCGCACCCCGCTCTTACCAATCAGAAGACCCACCCCAATAGTCTCGTTTCCAGTACTGGTTTTCAGGTTTGCCTGTGAGGGATGACTAAGAGCGCCTAAGCGATCCCTACAGCTCCACGTTTCCGTTCCTGCGGGGCCTCATTGTGATGTGGTCGCCGAGAACCGGTTGACTTCACAAACGGACGCCAGTCGAGCCCCCCAGCGCCCCGACCCGGGCTGACCATCCATGTCGCCTTCCGCTGGCCACGGGCCAGGGCGGCTCCTCGCGGGTTTCCAGTAGGATGTGCCGCCAGATGCGGGGCCCTTGGCAGACTGCTACCCGATTTCCTCTTTCCGGAGCCATAGATTTCAGGCGGGGACTCCAGTTTCTGTAGCTGCTTGCTGTAACACGGTCGCGCATTGGCTCGCTCCGCCCCGCCCGCTGTGCTCCCAACACTGTCAGGTATTGGCCGGGCGCAGGCTTCGCGGCGAGTCTGGGCAGGGTCGAGATAGAAGAGGCGATCCCGCTTTCCCCTGCGTCCCCTCCCTCTCGTCCTCCCCACCCCCGCACTGCGCCCCACCCGGATTGCTACTCCAAATCTGCTCTGTCACCTTCTCGAGTGGATTGACCTGTCCTGCGCTGCGTTTGAAGGGAAGAAGACTTTGAGGTCATTTCTAAACTTTGAGAATCTCCCCAATTTGGGGCCTCGGAATAGGACTACGAACTTCAAATTCTGCGCTTTAATTTTAAAGGAAAGCCCAAACATTTAGCCTCAGGTAATGTTTCATTAAAAAAAAAAAAAAAAGGCCATTATCTAGGCATGATGGTGTACACCTTTGAGCCCAGCATTCAGGAGGCAGAGGCAGGTGGATCCAGGCCAGTCTGGTCTACGTAGCGAGTTCCAGGCCAACTGTGGCTACAAGACCCTGTCTCAAAAAAACAAAACAGCAACAACAAAAAATTACCATAAAAAAGTGCAAGGAGCTTAGAATATAGCACTAGGAAAAAAACTATAAGGAAAAAATTTACAAGAGTTATAATCCAAGAACAAAGAATGGGTCTTTAATTAGAACCAGGGACTTCTAATTCAAATTAAATTGTTCTTATTTTTCTGATTTGGCTGAAGATAGGTTAAGACCATTCCACAGATCAGAAATTCTTGCCCTTCAGTTTGGCACCTCTAGTTGAGCTGAACGGCGTGGTGAGACAGGCAGGCAAGGGGAATTTTGTTTCTGGGAATGCCCATCTATGAAAATTCTCTGCTACATTCAAATAATACTAGATAATAATAATATAGTAGTTAATGTTTTCTAGGTGACAGGCATATGCAAGTATTAAATACTGTCATCCCTGGTCTGAATAAAACCTTGCCAAAACACATGATGTACTGGTATTTTAATCACCTTGAAGATTGAAATGCCAGGGCATAGGAGGTTTCTGTCACTTGCCCAAAGTAACCCAGCTGTTAAGTGCTGCAGAGGTTCAAATGTAGCATGAACTCAGAACCATTTAAGACTGCTTTTTATTATTTTTAAAAATTTCTATTTATTATTTTATGTGTATGAGTGTGTTTCCTGCATGTATTTAAGTGCACCCATGTCGTGCAATGCCTGTAGAGGCCAGAAGAGGGCATTGGATCCCCTGGAACTGGAGTTGTTGATGGTTGTTAGCCACCATATGGGTGTTGGGAACAAAACCCAGGTCCTCTGCAAGAGCAGCCAGTGCTCTTAACTGCTGAGCCATCGCTCCAGCCCCAAGGCTGCTCTTGAGATAAACATTTACGTGTTTGTGTCCCAATCTCTTCTACAGCAGTGCTTAGCATTTAGAAATGAAGCCAGGATAGGCTAGTCTGGCCTGCCCTCTTTATCGGTGGGTTTCACATTCTCCAATTCAACTACCTTTGGATAAAAAAGAAATTGCATCTGTACTGAACATGTTCAGACTTTTCATGTCATTATTCTCTAAGCAATACAGTGTAACAATGATTTATATAACATTTTCATTGTGTTAGGTATTATAAGTAATATAGACATGATTTCATGTATATGGGAGGATGTAAGTAGAGTATTTGTAAATGGCATATCATTTTATATAAAGGTCTTGAACATCCGTGGAACTTGGTATCCAAAGAGGATCTTGGAAGTAATTCTGGGTGGATACAGGGGGATGACTTGATCCACTGTTTTGGTCACATAACTAGTATGCCTGGATTTCAGCAGGAGATACTGATGTCTTCATTTGGTTTTGTAAACTTTGATGTCAGAATCTTAGTTTGGCCTGGCCTGGTATTCACTTTGTAGACCAGGCTGGCCTCCATCTCACAGAGATCCCCCCTGCCTTTGCCTCCTGATTGCTGGTATTAAAGGCATGCTCCACCACACCCAGCCTAGAAATAAGTACTTAAAAAGTCTCCTTTGACCCTACTTTCTGTAAGGGGAAGGGGAAGTTCCTCCTTTGGTGACTTTTGTAATATTATTTAATATGTCCCAAAGACATCTTCATTGGAACACAAGATTCCTGTGACCCTTTCTTCCTGAAGGCACAACCAGAATATAGGGACATGTGAGAACAGAGCCTTTTCCCTCATTTATCTCAGTGAATGATAACAGAACGCCTTGTAATGTAATCTTTTGTGTCAAGTGGACTTCTAAAATAGTAAGAGAAAAAATTCTAGCTTCTGCTACTATTAGAGGCTGTTATGACAGAAAAAAAATTGAAAATTACAAAATGAAAACTCCATTTTCTCTTTTCCTCATGGCCAGGTATGGTGGTGCACACCTTTAGTCCCAGCACTTGGGAGAGGGCAGATCTCTGTGAGTTCAAGGCCAGCCTGGTCTACATAGCAAGTTCAGGCCAGCTGGAGCTATAAAAGACCCC